TACCAGGGTTTATCAAGCTCCTCCAACTTCACTCCTACCTTTGTAGCGATCAGACACTCTGCATGAGCCAACTGAGGGGAAACCTCCATCAGGAGATTCATTGTAAATGACAGTTACTAGGAAACGGTAACAATTTTAAAACTGAAAAAAAAGGCAAGGAAACACCTATGTCCTGTGACAGCCTAGGGGGTGAGGACTGCCTTGAGACAGGGATACTGTGGATTCGTATCTTGGTATCAATAAATATTCTTCGGAGCAAAATGTAAGAGCTTCAGTAGAAGACAGTGCTCCTCGCTGTGAAACACCCACTTGCTCCTAGTCATTGGTATAAATTATTATCATGTCCCAGTTTGGGTTCTCACCTTCAAGGAAGAGTTGTCAGTGTTTTCAAAGAAAGTCTAGAAAGGTGTTAGTTTTGTCAAAGGAAGAAAAAGAATTATTTATTTATAGCCTGAAGATTATTGTGGGATGAGAAAATTGTTTCCCTTTCAGTCCAGTCTGTCAACAAGCTGCTGCTGGATGAAGGCTGCAGTCGAGCTTGACTTTCTGGAATCGGTTTCTCCTTCCTGCACACATAAGGGCACTGGAGGTGTAAAGGCAGCGTGTGTGGCTCCCACCCAAAGTAGGTGGCAAGCAGAACCTCAATGCTTGCTAAATTCTCCCATTACTATCTGTGGAGCTATCCGTCCTCCTCTGAAGGGCAGGCGACTCAGCAAGGAAAGGGAAAAGTGGAAGCAGATCCAAGCAAAGGCTGTTTCATCCCCAGACCCAGCCCAGTAACAGTCAAAGCTTGAGAAGGAAAAATTTGCCACTGCAACAACTACAGGAGATAGAAAATGGCTTGTTTATAGAAGTCTAAATGGCTGACCCCCATCAGCCAATTTCGGAAAGTCTCTGAGATAATCGCACCTGTCCAGTAATAAACGAATGAATCAGAAAAGGAGGCTGAATAGAGGTATAAGCAATAATGCTCAGAGGCTGCCTGATACAATGGCCAATCAATAGGAGGGCTGTAGATCAGGGTGCTAGTTAGCTGGAAAATTACCGCACCGCTGCGTGCGTCACGCTGTAGGGATCCTGGACAATCAATGTGGGAGGTATTGATTTAGTTATTATCACTTCATACGCTCCAGACATTGTTAAATATACATTTATTAACAAGACTGGGGTGCATTGGTAAGAGAGGGAGCTTTAGCCACTGCAATAACTCCCAGTGCTGACCAAAGCTCAGCTGTGACAGACTTTAAATTCCATGTCCTCCCTGCCAAGTGTGCTCTCAGGGCAAATCCTGACGCACAGTGTAGTGCTGAAAACGTAGCTCCTATCTCACAAGAGAGAGATTTTGGCCACAAGTGAGCATTTTGCACTTGAGATTTCAGGAAAGCCTCCCCGAGCAGCAGCAACCAGGGACGTGGCAGCCAAGGGTCAACCCAAAGTGAGCGATAATTGCACGGTTGCTTCCGAAAAGCCGGAGGAAATGAGGTCAAGGGAAATAGGGAGAACATTAGTAAATAAAGGAAACTGGAACTACCTCCAGGGATGGAATAAAGACAAGAGTCACTTCCCATGTCTGGCTCCCGTGGTGGCCAGCACACTTGGGACACATGCCATTTCATTTAGTGACATTTTACCGTCAACCTGCTGCTTGTATCCTAAAGATAAGCATCGCTTAGGAGCAACTCTTCCTGCAGCAGCAATCTTGGGAACTCCCTCAGGCTTCCCTCTTGCGTGCACACCCCGTGTGCGCTTGCCCGGACACAGCTGGGAGCAGCCCATGCAGTACTTTTACAGGGTTAACGTCGGGGTGGAGCGAGGGTCAGAAAGCCAAGCTCCACGGTCACAGTAAGGCCGTGTATGAGCTACCCTGCCAAGGGAGGCAGAGGGAATTACACCGCCCTGCTCTCCCTGCTTTGCCTTGACCTCATGCTGGATGTGGGAGGACTCTTTTAACAATTTTGTGCCTCAGCACTCGGATTTGAGGTGTTTGGAGAACGTCATTCATCAGACTCCAGAGAGATCTGCTGAGCACAACCGCTGCCGAGAGCAACGCCTCGAGCCTCAGCGCTGATGCTTCTCCAGCCACACAGGTCCGAGTGGCTTTAGCAATACCTGTACTGTCCTCCCTCACCTAGGATGTAACAAGAGGGCACATCCCTGCTCTACTTGCTGTGGACCTCCTACCTTATTATACACAGGGAAGCCTCAGCAAGAACCTTTAAACAAGAACAAAAATACGAAAGGAGGGCTTCTCACGGAGGAAGCTTGGTCCTGCACTTCTCTCAGGACTTTGTGGATAACTCTTCAACAATCTGGCAGTCACAGTTGAGGATGCTGGCTACCAGGGGACAAGCCTATAAGACCTGGCAGACAGCACTTGAGAGTTTTCAGTCTCTGCGCCCAGAGCATGTTTTTCTACTGTTCATAGCATTTTTCCCCTGAGCACTGAAAATAAGAATAAACTTTCTTCCTCTGAGCAAATCCTTGCTTTGTTCAAGTAAAAGGCCAGAAGGGGGGCACGAAAATACCATGGAAGAGGAAAAAGGACCTATCTGTAGCTTTGAGCTATTACTCAGCAATCACCTTCGGGCAAATCTCCCCTGAGAATTGGCTGCCCTCCTCTTTGCAAAAAAACTTTAACCCAAACGCTGGTTATTTGTCAAACATTAGCATGCATGTGATCTTTGTTTCTCCAAATTAAATCGAGCAATTCCTACCCGCTGTCCCAGTGGACAATCACAAGCAATTCCGTTAATTAAATTATCTCTGATTCTGCAGCTCTGGAATCTCTCAATTGACTAAGTCGGTGCTTTATCATCAACAAAATACTGGACCAAAAAGGAAACAAAAAAATGCTGATGTCAAAGTGATTGGCTTCAGTTAACCCTTCCCAGCTGGATATTAAGGGCCGCTCAAGAAACTGTTGGACTGGAACAAGCCCAAGAGTGAGAGCCTCGTACCAGAGATACCAGTAGCAGCTGTTCACTTGTGTTTCCTTTCCATCACACAGAAAAAAACAAACCATCATACCATCACTGCATCCTGCCTATTTGAGAGCCACAGAATGATGCAAACTGGTAGCTGCTGAAGAAACAGAAAAACACCTCAAAGATCAGTAAGCCCCTGCGAATATCCGGTCCTCCCCTAACCCAGATCTCACTTGACACACCCCGCTGTTGAAGAGTCTCCATAAAACATTTCCCTTCGGTTTATTTCAACTGGATATAAATTTTCCTTTCTTCATAAACGGCCACACTGTACACAGCATTCCATAAATTTTTACAATTCCACTGTTTGTATGTACCTTGTAAAAAACACTTAGCACTGATTAAATGCACTGCCAATAAAATTTCATGGGCTACTTTTGACACTTGATATTCTGACCTTCTTCTCTCTTCCTCATACATTTATTTTTGGTTTTGTATGCCTGTAAACACAGTGGCAGAGGGGAAAACGTACAGTACCACTGACAAACCCAAGAGTGATGTCTTTATTTTTAAACAAAGCCTTTTTCTTCCCTTGTCTGAGGTAGAGAACCTGATCCCAGCAGAACATACATGCACAAGGGGCAGAGGTCAGGTCGCTAGCAGCTCACGTATCATAAATATTAGAAACAGGCTGGTCGATGCTTTG